GCAACAACGGACGCGTATGTTGTCGGTCCTCTAACAGTTTTTGTGAGGCGGTTGATTCTGTTGAAGAATGTGTGACGAGCGCATCTTTATGAGCAGCCGCTAGTGCCTGTGTGATTAACTCTTGATCATTACTCTTACACTGTTCTGAATTTGAGTTTTATGTTGAGCATCGAATTCGAGGCACTGATGTGTCTGGTTCATGTGAGACCGCATTTACGGCTGCTGCCTGCTCTACAATCTTTGTCAGCTTATCGTACTTCTGCGCCAACACAGTTATACATCTGACAAGTGGAAGATACGTAAACTCACTGCAGAACCAGCGAATCGGTTGTACTCTTAAGCTTTCTTATCTGTCTGAGAGTAAGGCGAGCACATCGAGAATGGAAGTATTTTCGGCAGTTTCTGCATTCTATTCCGAATCGCACAAGTTTTACACAGCTGTCTACGCCATAGTATTGGTTGCACTCACATTTTTTTCCAAGTCCGAAAACCAAAACATCTCGATTTGCGGTTGCAATACTTTCGTTTCAGCATTTTATTTATCAGTCGACGTTGTCTCTGGTTGCAGCAGCATCTTAGCTCCTGACATTATCATCATCATTCAGTATACACGTTAGCTAGAGGTGGGAAACACCTCAGCTATTGTGCCGCCAACTATTCATGTTATGCGTCAGCACTGCGATCATGGTTGGTGGGGAGCAACAAAAGCTCGCAACGCAAATTTTATGAGGTTGATTATTAGCCATGTCAACAAGTGTCCCTAACCAGACGTGTTCATCATCTTCCGGGCCCCAATCAGGAAACCGAGAGGCCCCAACCGACGCCAACTTTGAAGTAAAAGCCCTTATTTTTCTTGACCAAGTCATCGCTTGGACATCCACCCTCTTCTTCCAACTGCATTCCCGGCGCGCAAACAACACACAACGCGGGAGTCGGTGGGCTGGCATGCGCACCACGGAGCCTTGTGCGTGAAATAACGGTGCTGAGCGTTTCACTTCCTTTTCCTGTGCCATAAACAAGGAGTCTAGCACGCTCATCACTGACGCTGTGTTCCTACCAGATACGAACCAAACTGCGAAGGCACCGGTGGTGGAAGATAACTAACTTTTATGTCGGCTGATATAATGGGTCAGGTTTCACAACCGTACAGTAGGGTCGACTTTACGGCTGCATTCTATACTCTACCCTTCAAGGAGAGAGTGATGTCGCGCCGGCGCCATGGGTGGCGAAAATTGGCAAAAGCGCTCCGAACTTTTGCTATACAGTTCGTTGTATCGACTTAGACTCCACAGGCGCTGATGTAACTGCCTAGGTAGTTGAATTTCTGGACAGCTTCTAGCTGTTCGCCACCAAGGGTCAGCCCTGGAGGCGGTCTCTGCTTTGGCTCTTTGCGACGTATCTATTTTGTGACTGTACAGACGTTGAACTGGACTTCTCGCCATCTCAGTAGAATGTGTTTTTTCAATCCTTCGATATGATGTAGGGTACCTCGGGTGTGCGCTTGACTTCCATAAGTAATCTCTTCGTTCCTTTCGTTGTTGACAGCCTTTCTGTTTGATTTGCTCTACTATAAACTGATGATACTATGGAGCTAGTTTTGTTTCTCACCGAAGGCACGGAACTCTGCCTTGGCAAATTGCGGTGTTATAGGAAAACTCTTCTTGCGGTACACCATGTGGAGCGAATTGGCCTCGCATTTGCTCGTAACGCTTGCGCACTGGTTGTGTAAGCGCATTAATCTCGTGGTAGTCACTAACTTATTCAACCGTCGTCAGATTATACTTCTTGTAGTTGATGTCCAAACTGGTTTTCTATTAACGCTTTTCTGCGACTTCACAAGGTCTGTCATTTGCTCCTTCAGTTACACTTCATGTGTTCTGCATGCTAAGCATTTCGTTACGTAATCGCTTGTTTGACTGTCATTCCTCGCCACAACCTCATCCCCCACGCTCCTGCCACAGTTGTTGGTTGCTAAGTATACGCAGTGGATGTACTCCAACATAAAACACTACACTGTCTTTGGGGCTGGAATCCGGTTTCCTGTGCGATAGATTCGTCGCGAAAGACATTAAATGGAGCAGCGTGTTGTTTTTTATGTTGTCCGTTCAGCGTTCTATTTCCAGCAGCCCACGCAGGTCACTTTCCTTGCAGCTTCGTAGTTTTTTCGGACTTTCCTCGGGACAGCATTCAATTGTGTTGTTTGAACAATGATTAAGCCTTCCTGTATTTCTCTTTCTTCTGGTAGGTATGCGCTTGATAGTGTATCAGCCATGTTCGTCTTGGATTCCAGTTAATAGACAACCTCCTGGTCGTACTTCTAGGAACGGACGAGCATTCGTCACAGACGATACAGCACAAAATGTAATGGTTTGCTAGTGATGTACACCAATCGACTGTGGTTGTGAAGTCAAGTTGAACTAAGCGTTGTGCACACAAATGGGTTTGTTTTCAACATTTACCTTTCTGCTTCCTATGCACTGGAAAATAATATCAGTGAAAATACTTGTGAGTGAGTGGGCACAACGTGGAACACACCCAATTGTCACTCTGGCAGCTGCTCACGTAGCGTGCTTGTTGCATTGAGAAACAGAAGTGACAGACAAGGCGAAATTATTCTACGATGCGATAAAGCGCTGGAGAATGAAACTTGAAATTCTGTACGCATGGAAAAGACGGTTTTTTAAGGTTACTGTGCAGTAGATGAAACTGGTCATTAAGGATTTTGAAGGAAAAGTATTGCAGACGTCAAGATGCTTAGAAATAACCAAATCAGTCAGTGGATCTAGCTAAGCCGCCGCTCCGTGCACCGCACCTCACCGCACAGGTTTTAGCTGAGAAACGGATCAAACTGACACTACATCGGTCAAACTTAGAACCGGTTCCGGTGGTTGGGCGTCCCTTTTTATCCTGCCAACAGCTTCCACATCAGCAGTAGGAGGCATCTCGTTTATGGCCCTGGTCCATAAGACACCGTTTTGCGCAGTTCCATCTTCTCGCACTTTAGTTTACTGTTTTTCATTGGGACTTTGAAGAAATCTGCAAAGATTGTAATCGGGTTCCTCTTGAGTAATACCGCCACACTAATCGCTCTGAGTAGACTCTCTGGTGATTACGTCAGCTGCTCCCGATATATCTCACCAAATGCTTTTAAGCCAATAGATACACGTAACCAACGAAAACCTCCAAGAAGTGCTCCAAATATGATCAGATAGCCCTTCATCACTTGACACGCATGAGATAGTTGAGATGAGGTCAGTCTTCGTGAACATCTAGTGTTTTTAATGCTTGCCACTCTCTTGAGCGCATCATAAACGCAAATCACTCGATTTCTCATTGACGATTGCCACTTGACCCACCCAATCTATCGACTCATCAACCTTGGCTTTGATACCAGACGGGTCAAAGGTTAAAATGCTTCCGAAGACTTTTCACGCAGCAATAGATACATTTTAGCTGACAAAGCTACAAGCTTATTGAATTTGTTTCACGACAGATGGGCACATCCTTCGAATTTCCCTACGGTCCCGTCAAACAGGCCAGCATAAACGCCGACAACATTTGCGACGACGTGAACAAAACGACCATAGCCAAAGGTGGCAAAATTAGGACGCCTAATGGAACCATTGACTAGATGAGGATAAGGTCTGTTGCAACCTGGGGAATTTAACACGTTTTCACCAAATCACGCGTGACTAGGTTGGCACACACATATGAACAACCTAGCCTTATCAGCGTAGGCGGCTCAGGTGTGTCACGTGGCCCGTCGCGATGACAGAGGGTGGGTTATGGAATACCAACTGGCTGGTATCAACGACACTCCACGTGTTCTACTTAACTACAGTGTAAGCTCGGGTACACTAGTTCTCAAAAATTCGTGATAGTGCTTGGTTATTGCAGCAATATTCCATAATCTTCAAGTCTAACTAAGGTGATGAAAATGAGTTCGTTGGCCCCCTCGGGTGTCCTACTCATTGCCGGTACTATGACTGTTTCTAACTAGTATTCGGTAATTATTAGAGCCGTTCTACATCACTCTCCCTTATTTTGGAAGCGGAAACATTAAGGGGGGCATAACGGGGACCTAATGTATGGAGTAAATCTCCGAAGCCAGCGTACAGCATCAAAGCGCCTGCACCTTATCAACTTCTTACCATATCAGCAGTTAGACACTGCTGGATCACGGGGGGAGGTTATAAACTCGTTGTTGCATTGCTTAATTGCTTCTGTCCTTTGAACGTCTTATCTGTTATAATTTCTGTCCAATGGTTGCGGGTCATTATTATTATTATTATTATTATTATTATTTCAAGGTAACTGGATCCGCCACGCTTCTGTGCACCTGATCTGATCCGAAACTTTCGGTGTTGGTGTAGTTCACTTGTATTATTCGCTCCTTCCTGCTTAAATGGTATTGCATTTTCTGCTGTTTTAACTGCGCATATTCTCCTGTTTTGCGTTCATTTCTATTCGGATTAATAACTTTCTGTATCTCATTCGTCGTTTTCCACTCCCTTGCGGTTGCCGTTTGGACCCGGTGACCCATTTCTTTGAACCCACGTGTTCCAACCCACAATCACCACAGTCTTTACCTAGTTGTTCATCTGCTCCAAATGGCTTTGTACCTTTCTGCTTGTGCAGTAGCACAGTATGATGAAAACCATTGTTACTCATTTCGCTTGTCGTAGCAAATTACATGTAAATCATCCCTCTGTTGATAGGAGTCTCATGATCTAAGGTGTGCTGTATACGCAATAAATTTCATTGTGCCTACACATACATCTTTCGCTTACACAGATGAATATTGGACTCACGAATCAGACAAAAGAGATCAAATACACCATTATTTGGGCGAAATGTGCGGTGCGATACATCACTTTTTTACGAGTTGTCTGTATACTTTTTACACCTGCTTCCTAGTGGCCCTTATTTTCTCTCTTCTGTTGGTTAGTGACTTTCGGTAAATCTTTTTTCCATTTTCACCGACTTTTTGTGCATTCCAGACATTCATATCGCTGAAACCGGATAACGGTCTTCTCACGGGTGAGGCTGTGAAAAAGCATCTGCTTGCTTCCCAATTGCCAAACATTGTACTCCGCCAGATTTGGCAGTTGTCCGATGTGGACCACGATGGCTGCTTAGACGCCGATGAATTTTGTTTGGCCAACTATCTGATCAAACTCAAATTGGATGGTAACGAACTTCCTTCCGTGCTACCTGCTCATTTAGTTCCTCCGTCGAAACGTGCCACTCTTGCCAACGGTGTCGGCAAATAATGCGAACACCAAACTGCTCGGAAAGATTTGGTGGATGTTCCGCCGGTCCATCTCAGTATTTGTCTGTGTTTCATCTGTCAGCCTTTGGACTTAACTGCAATCCACTCTAATCGTATAGAGAAGGCGATCTCATTACATTTATCTTCTCACCATGCCACATGCTGTGTCCCGCTAATTTATGTTTTGGTACCCTGACACTTTGTGCTAAATGACCGTATTTCATTCCCAAACGTCACCACGCCTTTGACTCTAAGAGACAGACCATATCACACTATTGCTTTGGACGCCCATTTTTCTTCGCTGTGATGATGTTTATATGCCTCTGTCTTATTTTTGATTTTTCTACGGATGAGTTTTCTCAAGAGCGTATTGTGCTTTGATTTTTATTACCTTTGACTTACGCTGTCTTTTCTGCATTGTGTTTGCACGGTTTTGTCATTATAAGTGGATTTGGAAATAATTGCCAAAACCTGTAGCTCGGGGTGTGGATGAGAAGGTTGCTTTGTTCTCCGAGCTGGGCGTTTCAGTTGCAGACGTTTCGTCGCCAAGCTAGGCAACATCATCAGTGCGGCTTTCAAAATCTGAATCGCAGAGCCTCGTGAGCCAGTTGCAGATCCGTGAGGCTGTTGATCGGGTCCTGCTTTGGATGTTAGCTGTCTATTGGCTCACGTGGGTCTGCCAAGTAATCGCTTCTTTGCTTTGTTGGTCTGGCGCCTACTGCAGCGGTTCGTATATCCCCTCTAGCTCCAGGTACTTGTTGATTGAGTTCCGGCCTAAATGCCAGGCCACAAGGACTCACGCGCCCTTCGATTCCTTGCTCTTCCAAGTATCTTGGCGTTTTCCAAATCAAATTGGTGGTCCACGACATTCGTATGTATTGCAATTAACGATTTCTTATCATGACGCCGGATAGCCCATCTGCGCTCGCGAAGTCTTGTGCCGAGTTTTCTTCCGGTCTGACCCACATAGTATTTGTCACAATTCTGGCAGAAAATTTTGTCAATTACACCAGTTATTTCTTCCTTGCTTAGTTAGTCCCTTGCCTTGAAAACTTTGCGCCGAATTTTTTCTGTTGCTTCATGCGCAACATTTATCCCGTGAGGCATTTGAAGCCTCGCTGCCATTTCAGAGATTCCACTGGTGTAAGGTAGGATAATAGTTTTTCGGTATGTAGATGCGGGTTGTTGTTGTTTTCTCGACATCAAACAGCCTAGAATAAAACTTTTGGGTAGAAATTCCGCTGAAACTTGTTGCAGTAGTGGTCTACCTCCGCCTTCCTCAGCTGCGGCCTGCTGAAGAGAGTTCTTACATAACTGCACTTGTAAACGGTCGGCTGGTTGCTGCGATGTTTCAAAATCTGATCGATATGCGTTGTCTTCCGATAAACTGTATTTTCCAGTGACCCAGAAGCATGTCTTCTCACAAACACGTCCAAGTATGGTAACTGGTCATTGTTCTCTTATTCTTTGGTGAAATGGATGCCGGGGAAAATATTATTGCTGGGGTGATGTATTTCTTGTAGTTCGGAGCGCTTGATAATGTCAAAAGTATCGTCAACGTGACGTACCCAACGTTTGGGCTCCACCATCAGCAGTGCCTTTTATTCTAGTGCTTGTAACACTGTCTAGGTTATCACTCCAGAGAATGGCGTGTCCATTATCTATGTGTAAGTTTGGCCGTTGAAAGTGAAGTGTGTGGTGTCGTGTAACCCTCCAGGAAGCAAGAAGACTGGGCCGCGATCACGAAGTCATTTATTAAGATTACGCTCGAATATTTATAGAGTATATGCACTATTTACAACAGTCTGTTTCAATGGCTCATCCCTGTTATTTGCATTGTGTCACTGGCTCCTTTTCCATTGATTTATGCCTGATTACCACGTTTATTCTGTTTAAAATCATCTTGACTTTCTTAGTGGATGTACGATTGATGGGATTGGACATGCGTGCTTCTTCCCTCGGTCCAATACCACAAGCCTTGGCTCAAGGGTGCACGAGTATGCGCTCCTTCGCCTGTTAGCGCCTGATCAGTCATTTGCACGTTCAGTGGATATTTGCAGGGTGGACGCGAGTACGGGCCAACTATTTCCTGATTGGCTGACCAATCTGCTTCCGGCAACCTGTTCGCTCCTTATCGGTCTGGTCTGTGACGTTCGATCGGCATTACAACATTTCCAACCCCCAGCACATCATTTCCTTGTTCGTTTTTCAGGATGGCGTTACCATATGTTCCGTATTGCCTGCCACTTCGTGTGCGTTTAATGTCCTGGGCTTGGGTAGCAGTATTCCTCTCCGGTTCTTGTTGCTGACGCTCTCTCTGCGGTGTCCACTTCTGACGCAGTCTTCCCAGTTGCACCCGATTCCGTCGGATGCGATTGCCCCCAACCTTGACTTCATAGCTCCTCTCTCCCTTCCGGCTTTCGATCACTCCTTTCCGCCACCATCCACCCAATTCCGGTAATGGCTGCACCCATACTTCTTCTCCTGTACCTGGTGGTGGGTGGCTTTTCGATCCGCGATCATAGTACTTTTTTGCCTTTGCATTCTGTTCCGTAGCCAGTCGTGTAGAACAACGGACGGTCCTAGCTCGGGCTGCAGTGGAGTTGTAGCGGTCAGTATTAGCGTTCTTGTTCGGCGACTGAATGGACGCTGTGCAGGACTCGCTCCGATATCAGCAGATGGTGTATTCCTTCGGTCCAGTAGCATTATCTACGGATCTTGCTGGGTCTCCTTGGCTTTTGTAAGCATCTTCTTCGCCTCCTTCACTGCGGACTCAGTCTTACCGTTTGGTCGGTTATGGTATGGGCTGGTTAGCCGGTGACGAAACTCCCACTTCTTGCTGAATACACGAAACTCTGCACTGTTAAATTGCGGCCCATTTTCTGAAATCACCACCTCGGGTATTCCATGCCGAGCGAATTTGCACCGCAACTTTTCACCACGGATTGCGTACTAGTCGTCGTAAGCGCATCGATCTCGAAGTAGACACCAAAATAATCTACCACAATCAAATAGTTCCTTCCATCGTGAGAAATAATGTCTAGTGCAACCATCTGTCAGGGTCTGTCAGGAACGTCACGTAGCATCATCGGATCTTTTGGCTGGCGTACGTCATGTGCTCTGCATGCTACACCACTGGAGACGTAGTCACGTATTTGGCTGGTCATTCCGGGCCAGAACAACAGCTCTCTAGCTCTTACCACGCATTTGTTGGTTCCTAAATGTGCACAATGTATCAGCTCCAGCACCGAACGCTGCAGTGCCTTTGGAAGCACTGTCCTGTTGCCTTTGAATATTAATCCATCCTGAGTAATGAGTTCGTCACGAAAATGGAAGAATGGAGTCAGCTCCTTCGGCAACTTTTTCTTGTCTTCGGGCCATCCGTTCATGATCATGTGCTTCAGTAGCCTACACAATTCGTCCTCCTCAGTGTATCGTTGGAGACGGTGCAAGCGTTCCTCAGTGACGGCGATCAGCTGTGTTGCATGGACAAAATCTGGGTCTTCTTCCTTTCCTGGCGTGTCTGACAGGTGCGCTCTTGACAGCATGTCCGCAAAGTGCATCTAGGATCCTGGGCGGTAGCCAATCTCAAAATTATACATCTGCAGACGAATAAGCGTCCTTTGAAGGCGGCGTGGAACAACATGGAGCGGCTTGTTGGCGATCGACACTAGGGGCTTGTGGTCGGTAAAGACAGCGGATTTGCGGCCAAACGTATAGTCATTGGAACGCTCCACGGCGTAAACCAATGCAAGCATTTCCTTCTCTATTTGCGCGTAATGATGCTCGGTCTCCGTTAGCGTCCGGCTGCGAAAATTGATAGGCTTACCGTTCTGCATGAGTGCGGCTCCGATACCATACTGACTGCTGTCACACTAGATCTCGAGCGGAAGTGCTGGGTTATATTAAATGAGAACGGGGGCGCTGGTGATCAATTCCTTTATTTTCTGAATTGCTCTCTCTTGCTCCGCGTCTCAATGCCACTTCTCACTCTTACGCGTCCGTTTTCGAATCGCTACCATTACATCGGCTAATCTGGGCATGAAACGACCTAGGTAATTCACCATCCCATTCAGCCTGCTAACGGCTTTTACGTCAGTAGGAGGAGGCATCGCTTTGATGGCTCTGACTTTCTCTGGGTCTGGTTTCAGTCTTTCGGAGCTTAGCACGTGTCCATGAAACACCACTTCCGTCCTACGCAACTCGATCTTCTCTCGTTCCAGCTTGATGCTCCTGTCAAAACAGCGCTGCAGAAATCGGTGAAGGTTCTGGTCGTGCTACTCTCGCGTTGCGCCAAAAACGAAAACGTCGTCTGCTACACGACGTTTCCGGTAAATCGTCTAAAGCCTGCACCAGTCGTTTCTGGAATATCTTGCTAGATACCTTCAGCCCAAACGGTAAACGAAGCCAGCGGAAACGCCCGAAAGGTGGTCAGGTAGCTTGAATCTTCCTCAAGTAATACCTGCCAAAACGCAGAAGCAAAGTCGACTTTGATGAATATTCTAGCTCTGGATAGCACCGGAAGTACATCGTCTAGCGTCGTTAGCGTATAATACGGCGTTAAGTGGTTTTGGATCAATACACACGCGTAGTTCTCCAGATTTCTTAGTAACGATCACCACCTGGCTAACCCAATCTGTCGGCTCCTTAACTTTGGCTATTACACCCAGAGTAGCAAGACGCTGCAGCTCGTCTAAAAATTTCTCACGTAAGGCAATAGGCGCCTTTCTGGTCGGGAACACTACCGGCTTAGCAGATTCGCTTAAAGATAAATGAGCACACCCTTCGAATCTTCCTACGACCCCGTCAAACACGCTTGGGTAGCTGTCAACATTATCTATGTTATCTTCACACGAATGGATGAAACTTTCATGGTTAGAAGAGACAAAATCGCGACTCTGAATAGAATCAATACCCAGAATGGGCTCAAGGTCTCCTGAGACTATCAGGAAATCGAGTTGGTGTTCTGTGCCGTTTTTCGGATTGATGGCCTTCAACGTTACGGTACCTTTCGGCAGCAGCTTTGAACCATTTCACATTCTGAGGCAATTCCGCGTCCTGTCACATGTCGTTTCCACACCGTGCTTCTCAGCGAGGATGTTGAAAGTAACCCCTGAGTCCAGTTGGAAGCGCACCGGTCGTCCTCGAATCAAAGGCGTCGCAAAAACACACTTTTGTTCTCCACGATTTTTCAACTTGCTTATCGAAAATTCTTGTAACTGTTCGTTGATGCTGTCGACTACTGGGCTGGCCTTAGCGGATTTGCAACACCGAGCAAAATGGTTCTTCTTGGAACATTTTGTGCACGTTCGACCCCAAGCTGGGCAGCTATCCTTTCTTCCTGGATGTACACGACCGCAAAACTGACAACCCGAACCCTGTCCTTCGGGTGTCTGGGACGGACTATTGCTGGTTCGGGATACTGCGCACAGATCGTTGTTTGTTTCGGCTCTCACAT